AACTGAATTCAAACATGCACGAACCACAATTTAACAGACTTCAACACATATATATATCATCAATATGGCATGTAATATATATGTAAAACTCAATTAATCATTAAACCCTAGAGACTATCTAGGTGCATAGAACACAAGCTAGAGGGAAGGAGGAAGAAAAGAACTTGCCTGTGATTTCAGTTATGAAATCTCGGCTTCGTGTCCACTGTTCCGGCAACATTGAACTACTGTCTAGCCTCCTCTTACTTCTGCTTTTCCCTTCTCCTAGGTCCGACCTTGAAACCTCAGTCGAATCCCACACCGAAAGTGCTCCGTTCTCTCAAAACCTCACTCTGTATCTCTCTATTTTTACAGAACTCAGTTTACGTCTATGAGCTAAGTGTTATGATCGTAAACCCTAGACTTAAAGTATAGTGGTGTATTTATAAGCTTAACCCTAAAACCCTAATCCTTGTAATATTAGAGACAGAGCCCTAACTCGACCCACGAACAACCCTGGTTATAAACTTTGTCGGCTCCACCTATAGGACTTCTAACAGAAACCCTAAAGAATGTATTAACGTAATAAAAATACTCATTTAACCTAATTACATAATTAAACCTTTATACTAATTAATTAAGGACACATAAATAATAAAAATAATTCAGATAATTTAATTAAACTAAGTAATACAAGTAAAAAAATAATGCAATTAAATCAAATATTAAATCAAATAATCCAAACAAGTTAATTAACCAAGCAACAAAATAATTAAATACGTAAAAATGCAAACAAAACAATTAATTAAAATACTAGAACTATCCTTTTAAAATTAGGGGTATTACACCAGTTCGGGTGAAACAACTCGTGCATATCGTACATAGAAACCGGAATTTCACTAACAAATGTAAATCGTCCTTACAAATCAGTATGCGTGCACTAATACAATTGTTCTTACTAAATAATTAGAGATGGATAATACAATGAACAACAATATATGGACTTAGGATATTCACAAATGTGGGTTACACTTACCCTTTATCACAACCTCGCGCAACAGCATAACTCAATAATTTCTTCTGCTTTGGAGTCAATTAAATTTTCTGACTATCCCTAGAAACCTATGGAGAGAAGTAATATGGTGCAGGGTTTCTGCTCCTAGTACCTCTTCTGAGTTATCCCACCCCATCCTTCCCTTTACCATGTAAACTTTCTAGGGAAATATCAAGGATTGAACAACTGGGAGTTGTATGTGTTGCTCCTAGGTTTTCTTCCAAAGCCATACCCACAGTGTCGTTCAACTTTGTCCTCTCATCCTCATTTAGTAACTCATTGCTGGTGGGAGTAAAGTGGGAATGATCTGTACGGCCAAATTCTGCTTCCTCACTTGTGTCAATAGGGGAGTCAAATGTTTCCCTCTCAACTTCATTTTCAGAATTCTGGGACGCATCTTTGTCCTCAATAGACACTCCCCCATCTGCTGTACAAACACTTACTTTTCCTCGAGCCCCTTTTGACTTTTTTCTCACTAAACTCTCCACTTTCTTGACCTTCCTCTTTAACGTTTTTCAGTTTTCTGCTTCTCTTTCTATTTCGTTGCGAATTTCTTTAACGCAACGCTGCATACAAAATTGTAATTGCTTGTCACCGATCAATTACATATTCACAATTTCATTCATACTCATTAACCGTAAAGTAATATATCGTTACCTCAACCTCACTTTCCAAACAACTACCATTGTCTTTTTCACCTCCAGACCACGACGATGACGGAGAATGGGACACATTCGCCTTGAGAGGAATTAACTATTCCATATAAATATTTCGAACCAAATGTACGTAAGCAACGAAACGGTATCATATACAACAAAAATTAAGAACTTTCAAATACTTGTAAAATTTAGTGTAATACCTAACCCATTTCAAAACCTTCCATTTTCAACTCCCATTTTAAGCGTTCTTGTACTAGGGCAGTGTCCCAAAAAGCAAAACTGCTTTTATCTTCCGTGGTGGGATAACAGGGGTATTGCACTTTATACCTCATCAGATATAGAAGCTAAATTAAATTGCAGCGAGTTTAATCAGTCATGATTGATACTAATGACATAAATAATAAAGTTTTTTGCAAAATATAAGTAGGTTATGTTATTTACATGCAAGAAGAGCACGCATCCAATATACTCGTGCTTTATTTTCCCACCTTCTTCAGATTCACCCAAGTGAACTATCAAAGTTTCAAGCACATATGTACACCAGTTATACGACTTGATTTCATTCACATTATGCACAGTCTTTAATTCTTTTACATGTGCACTGTAACATCCATTAGGTGTTAGAAAAGTGGCACATGTAAAAAGCATAAAGGCTCTTTTGAAATCTTCGTTGGGCTCACATTATTCTACCCTTTCCATCAGATCATTTACATGCAACCCACTTCGATATCCACATTCAGTTATCCAATAGGCTTTAAAAAGCTGGCATGTAGGCATGTCCGTGATTCCAGCAAGTAAGCCAAGGATGTTGTGGACATCAATTGCATTAATTGGGAGATATTGATTATCTTCAAGTTTAATGTGCCGTTTCTTTATGTCCAAATTTCCAATGATGTAATCAAAGAGTGAGGTAGACAAATGCTCATATTGTAGGTTCAGCAAATTGCTAAAACATATATCTACCACATCCTTCCTCTTATCATCTCCAAGTTTAGATACTGTGTTCATGAATTTGGAGATCAGGCATTTGTTCCACCCACTTTTAACCTTGTATTCAACCTACAACATCCCAATAAATTTAATGTCACATTAACAATTTCATTTAACTACCAGTAAGAAAGCATCAATTGCATTCTTTTCTACTTCATATTATGTTATCAAAATAATAACAAATTAAATTAAAATTTTAATTAAACTCCCCAACTTATCTTTTTCTTCTTCTTTTTCTTTTTGTTCACTACTAAGCCTCCACGATTTTTGAACTCCAAATTGCGCAATCTTTTATCCTCATAATATGGACCCTTATCCTCCATGCTCATACCATTCCATGCATCCTTGCATTTCAATTCCAATATTTTTTTATCACCGCCCTTTATTGGCCCATGCACTTGTTGATAATTCTTCATGAAAGCAGCCCTCATACACATGATATCATATACAATATCACCAACTCAACATTAGTATTTTAATTCAATACATATGCTTCACAACTTATTTCACAACTTACTTATACACTTATCAATTAAAAGATAAACATGTTGAACCAAAAATTTCCTAAACTTTCATATTTACCAAAGTAACACATCAGTAAAACATCAATTCCATTTCAAAAGCATGCAAAAATTATGTTTTACCATTATAAATAATTTCAAATCCTAAACAATCAATTTCCATGTCAACCTAAATATCAGATAAATGAAATATATATTTGCTCAATAGGGAACCATAATTCATACAAATGTTATTCTTAACATGAAAACTAATATGAATGTATACTTAATTAAACAAAAGGTAAACTCCTCCTCCACGACGCATACTATTCACTGATGCGCTGCTGCTTGGCTGGGGATTATAATTCTCTTCGTCCGCCTCAATATTATAATCATCATCAGCAAGGTCAGATGATTTAGGGGTACGAGTATGACTACGAGTACGAGTGCGAGTAGATGATTTTTTTTTTTTTTTGGGGGGGGGGGGGGGGGGGGGGGAAGGTGTACGACCCGCAGAAGAAGATTGATTACGCATGCTTTGAATCATACATTAGAGAGTAGGAGAAGGAGGTGGATCAATGATATTGTCCGCGCTTTTTTTCCATATAGGTATTTTTTCGTACAGGACCTTTCTTTCGAGCTATCAACTTCTTCCGACCCATTTCTAAACCAGTTTTTACAGCGCAACGTTACAAAGCACACTCTATTATGCACAAACAACCTTTCAGCAATTGTTAGTGAACAAAATTTTAACTACAAACAGATAAAACAAACACACACACAATTAACTGCAAAAATAGTGCAACAGGAGAATCATACCACCAACCAACAAATACAACACATCAATAATTACCATTACAAATTGTATAAAACATTGCATTGTCTTACACGAATAAAATTTTCATAATTTTCAATTCATTTTCCCATAATTTAATAATAATAAATAACCAATCAAAACTAATGAACCAGAATTTAATTCGATTAAATCAAATTATAGTGTACTATTTTTGACGCATAACTTTTTCAGAATTTCACAAATAACCAAACAAAACTAGTAAAACAGAAATTAATAGTATATTCAATCAAATTAAACCTCTCAGTTTGGAAAGGGATGGACAGAATTTAATAGAATTCAATTAAATTATATTGGACTATTCATCACGATTAACTTTTCAGAATTTCACAAATAATCAAACAAAACTAATAAAACAGAATTTAATATACTATATTCAATCAAATTAAAACTCTGAGTTTGGAAAGGGATTGACAGAATTTAATAGGATTCAATCAATTTATATTGTACTATTTATCAAGAATAACTTTTTCAGAATTTCACAAATAATAACACGAAATTTAATATAGTGTATTCAAAGAAATTAAAACATCTGCGTTTAGAAAGGGATGGACAGAACCTTTGGAAAGAAAACCTAAGTCTGACAGCTGTAACAACCGCGACCTTCTTCCAACTCCACTTTCGAAAACCTAAGTCCGACAACTGTAACAATAACAACCTCTTCTCGCAACCTTCTTCCAACTCCACTTCCGAAAACCTAAGTCCTACAATTCTAATAACCTCTTCTCGCGATCTTCTTCTTAGTCCTTCTCCTTCCCTTCTCGTGATCTTCTTCCGAGTCCTTCTCTTTCCCTTCCGACTTATTCAACGAGCTAGAAAATGAAGGATGTTTTGGGAGTTTCTTGAATATGAAAGGTATTTCAGTAAATTCACCCAAATATTTAATATATACTGGTGTATATACACTTTATCATATATATATACAGTAACATATACACTACAAATACATTCCGTAATAACTGAGGGTAAGTGGTGCCCGCCCATGGGTTGTTATCTATAATAGAATAGGGAGGTGTTTGTTTCAGAATTCACAGTAAGGCTTTAGACATTAAGAGGAAATCAAGGGTTTCAATGGCAAAATCGATCTGTAATACTTGTCAGAATCTCATCGTCGTGGGTTCAGATGAGGAAAACGATCGCAGAGAATGCACTTGTCCACTTGAAGAGAGAAGGCCGATGGTTCTGTGTGCCCTATGTGATCGCATGTTCGACGACGTGAAGGATCTGAAGCGACACCAGAAAAGGATGCACAAAGGCGCTCGCCTTTGCAAGGTCTGCGGGATTCGGCTCGCCACTAAGCCAAAGCTAATTGCTCATTATGAGAGCGAGCACCCGTGGATTCAAATCCGCCGAGTGCTCGTCGTCGTCTTTTTTTCTTTTCTTTTTTTTTTTTTTTCATCGTCTTTTCATCTTCTTTGTTAATTTTGGTTTGAATTTTATTTTTTCTTGTCTACTTTACGTCAATTTTTCTTTCTTCTTCTTCTTTTCTTTTTCTTGCTCAACATTCTGTCTCTCATCTGCCGAGCACGGTCCACACTTTTCTCTCGTCTCTCTCATACGCTGAGTAGAGTTCATCTTTCTGAATTTCAATTTCTGAAGCTGTATGCTCGATTAAGTGGTAAGATCTCCTTTCTCTCTCAATATACTTCAGGAAATTCACTTATGGTAACTTTTACATGATTTTAATGTGGCGGGTTTCTAATAACTTCTTGTTTATGTTATCTGTTCATGACTTGAACTATGTGTGTTTATGATTTCCCAATTATGTACAATTGATATGTCCTTTATATTTTCTCCCTATTTCTTTTTCTGAATTTGGTTGACTTGACACCTATTGTTGGACTTTATATATATATAAATGTGTATATGTGTGTTGTGTGCTTGAGTAGGACAGAGAAGCTTGGGATAAATTCAAGAAAATTGGAGTTGTGATATCACATGTTGGTTGTTTTATGCTCCATCTTGACCGAATGTTTTTTTGGCAAAATCGAACTGCGCAAGTGTCTGATTCTGAATTTACAGTACTGTGTCATAGAATTGTTAGATTGGTTCCTTTGAGTAGTGATTGGAAACTTCATAGTTAATGCTCAGTTCAGTCAGTGGTAATTGGAATTTTATGCTGCAGCATGCTGATCTTCAACAGCTGAGAGAGTTCCCATTCATGTATGAGACAGTGGCAAGTTTACTTTTATAGCAGCTTGGCAGAGTTGTTGAGATACACACGGTCTCTGCTGGAACAAGAGCAGACCTAGGTGTGCAGTGTTTTCTATCTGAAAGCATTTACTCTAAGTTTACTTTTGTCTCACTTGCCTGATGTTGTGTCTCATGCTTTAGAGAGGAAAGTGGAGAGATTGATATGGGTGATTCTGATTCTAGAAAGAAAGCTCATTTGCTCTGTTGGAAGAACGTTTCTTTGCCAAAAGCTGAGGGTGGTTTTGATGTGAAGAAGATCTCTGACATTCAGAAGTTTTTCTCCTGTTCAATAGCTTGAGATTTGTTAGGAAGATGGAGTCTCTGAGTGATATAATATACATATTAGAGGGTCTGCCTATTGGAGCTTCATTCCTTCTTCTTCTCAATCAGGTTTTTGGAAACATGACTGTCAGATAGAGAAAGTATGTTATATAATGTGTGTACTACAGTAGGAACAGAGTCTTCTTCTACCTTTCAATGATCCTTGGTGTGCTGGTCTTACTTTCCTGTAGAATTTTGGTCATCCTGTTGTTAGGTTCTTCCCTTTCTCAAGACAACTTCAGTCAGTGTTTTTATTCAAGGAGGTGGATGGAATCTGAATTTTTTGGGATCATGTGAATTACATGAGGCATTTTATTTCTGCTTTGCCTATTTTACATGAGAATGGCAGGGGACTCTTTCACTTTCAAGAGAGCGTAGGAGAAATGTATACATCAGTTTCTGTTGAAACTTTCCTCGAACAAAGGGAGCCCTAGAACCTGTATACTTGTTTGATCTGTTGGACAAACATCCCTCTTTGTTTAACATACAAAAGAGGGTATTTTCTTAACATCAGTGTGTGCCATCCCATTGTCTGATACAGCAAGCAAGAAAAAGGAAATTGGCAATGAACCGGCCTGTCCTTGCAAAGCAGAAAGGATGTTTGGTGTTGGGGAGGTTAGTTATTGCATTGGGAGATGTCTTTATTATCAGTTCATCCAGTTTTAGGTACGGGGAGAAGAATCAACAAACAAGTTCGAGAAGATGTTTTTCAGCTCTGATTTGGGGAATGGTTTCAGGCTCATAGTGATGTTCACTGTCTCGAGTTTTTCTTCTTCATGTATTGGAAATGGGCTTATTAAATTAAGCCCATTTTCTTTACAGCTTTTATTTCCATGAAAGGTATGTTGTCTACTCATAGTTGATGTCCATGTTTTTGCCTTATATTTTATAACAAAAGCTGGGATTTAAAGCTAACATTTTAAATTTTTTTTGGGTCTTCTTATTTGCAGGTTTTAGTGTTCTGCTTTGTTGTGTTAAGTGTAGGTGGACATATGGAGTTCAGAGCTTGCTTATATTGAAGCTGAAAAATAAACCTTTTGTTGATACACAGGGCTGTTTTGGTTGAGACACAGGGTGAATAGATTGAGCATAAAGTGGTCAATGCAGGAAGCGTTGTCAGTCTTGTTATGCTAAGCAGATGAAGAAGAAGAGCAGGAAACGGATTTATCAGGTTTGGGTTTATGTTCTGTGACTGCAGTGATAGACAATTGAGTTTCAAGGGAAAAGGGTAGCTTAGAAGTTGATTGTAGGCCTGCAAGTAGGTTGCTTCTGTTGAGGGGTCTGAGTCTGTAAATCCTTTCTGTTCGAGCTAATCCGAGATCAATGCTTTTATTGTTTTGTGGGCTGCCACTTTTTCTCACATTTGTTTGTCAATTCAACTGGGATGGATGCATGGTTTCATTTTCGGATTTCTATTGAAATGTTTAGCAAATGAAAGCAGGATTGGTTATTTTGTTCTTATACTCGTGTATCGGATGAGTTCTCTAAAGCAAAATTTTAGTTCCTTAATCAAATTTAAGTAATCTGGTTTTTCAGTTTTTAATTTTTTCTGTTAATGATATATATACATATTCAGTTTTGATACAATTGCATGCCAATGTGGAAAAGGGTTTTGAGATTCTTTTGTCTAAATCCGAGGATTGCACACTTTTTAATTCTTTAAAAATAAGATGTTGACTTTATTCGATGAGATTAAAGGTATGAGCATGGGGAATGTACTAAATTTATCATGATTTCAAGAATATAATGAGTTCATTCATGACAGACTTATTACTTGTGATGCTACACCAGGTTTCTTGGTGGCTTTTTGGCTTTAATTGTTGGTGGTAAATTTTGACATGAGGCCTAAACACGGCTAGACCGTGAAAAGAGTTAAGGGAGTTTGGATTTACGTTAAACGGCTTTTATACGTATTTAACTATTTAGTAGTAATTTCATTGGATGGAAACAATCATTCATGGCTCATATGAATTAGGATTGGATTTAGGATGTGTTGGTGACAAGATTTTACAATTTTTTTAAGTCAGTAGAGAAACTGATCTTTGGACCGGTCCATTCCAAACTGGACCGGCCCAACACGAAAATCTATTCAACCATTTCAGGACTGGTCCACTTGGACCGGTCTTCTTTAATCGTTTGGGGCTGTTTTTGTGTGGTTTTGAAAGGTATTTGTTTAGGGATGGTTGGAGTCTCATTGACCGTATAAGTCCATGTTTGTGTGAGTTTGCTTGATTTAAATAATACAAGTTTCAGGTACGTTTGGATGGGGTAAATTTAGAGCCACAAGGAAGACAAGGAAAAAACAGAAAAGAAAAGAAAAAGAAGAAGAATAATAAAAGTGTGTTTGGTTGATTATAAATGAGAAAGAAAAAATGATGGGAAGAAATAGGGAGGGATTTTCTTATCTCTCATTTCTTATCTCTCCAAAAATAAAAAGATAAGAAATGATAGTATTTAAGTAATATATTCATAACTCTGAAACTGTCCTCAATAATTAAAAGAATAAAATTATTATTTCGCTCACATCCCATCTATTTAAAAGGACATGATAGTAATTTAGTTATTATAATTTCTCTTATTTTCTCCCATTTATCATATTCAAACAAAAATAATACCCTTTCTTTTCTTTTCTATCATCCAAACATAAATACAGATTATTATTATCCTTTTCTTTTCTCTCATAACTAATACTATTGAGAGTGAAATTCACGCGGTCCGATACGACACCGTTTTCCTGTAAGGAAGAGAGGAGAATATGGATAAACCTTGACGGCACCGGTGTGGTGCATGCCAAGAGCTATCCGACGATCAAGTTAGTCACCGGAGGTCTAAAAAGAAGACAGGGATTTCATAATAGTTTTTTCGTCGTACCTTATTCTTCCTATTTATCGTCACTTCCCTTATTTCTTGATAAGGGAATATCATAATCCTTATCCCATGAAAATCTTATCCTTGATAAGATTTGTCATTATTCTATGGAATTTATCCAATGGAAATCGTTATCCTTGATAACGAAATATTATCTTTTGAAAGTAGAAGAGATTTACCTCTATCGTTAGGTTAAGATAGGTTAGGTTTATTTTTCTCTATCAGTTGTCCCCCATTCCCAAGCTTGCTCGTCTAACTTTGGGAATGTAATTTTTTTTTGGCCTTGGGAACAGTACCTGCGGGTACTATTCCCCCTGGTACTGTTCACATGAACAGTACTTCCCCCCCTTACCCTGGGAATAGTACCTCGGTATTATTCCCGCGGTACTATTCACATGAACAGTAAACTTTTTTTTTTGCCCCCGGCACTGTGCCCACCGGTATTGTTCATTGAACAGTAGTTTGTATTTTTTTTTTTTTCCCTACCCTTGGGTACTCTGCCATCGGGTAATGTTCCCTTGGACATTCTTCCCTTGGGTAATCTCCCCTCAGGTAATCTTCCCTTGGGTACTAATTTTAGTACCCTTGAATACTCTTCCCTTGGATATTATTTTTGGTACCCTTGGGTATTATTTTTTGTACCCTTGGGTAATCTTCCTTTGGGTACTATTTTTAGCATCATTGGGCACTATTTTTGGGTACCATTGGGTAATCTTCCCTTGGGTACTATTTTTAGTATCCTTAGGTACTCTTCCCTCGGGTACTATTTTTGGTACCCTTGGGTAATCTTCCCTTGTTAAGAGAATAAATTGTACAAGCTTCACTCAGGTCGCCACTCCTTTAATAAGGGAATCAAATTTTACGAGCTTTACTCAGCTCGTCCCTTTAGTAAGGAATTTTTATTTACTATCTCTTATAGTAAGAGGATAGTGATAGCGGGATTCATTCAACCTGGGCCCTTTTAGTACATGATATTTATCCCTTATAGTAAGGGGATATTGATTACGGGATTCACTGAGCCCGGACCTTGTAATACAAGACACTTATTTACTATCCCTTATAGTACGAGGATATGGATTACGGGATTCATTCAGCCCGAGTCCTTGTAATATAAGACACTCATTTACTATCTTTTATAGTACGGGGATATGGATTACGGGATTCACTCAGCCAGGGTCCTTGCAATACAGGATACTCATTATCATCCCTTGTAATACGGGAGGTAGTCGTCTTGTCTCTTTAGTGAATGAAGGAAGCTTTAATTATCTTACCCTTCTGTATAGTTAGAGTAGTCGACTTCTTGTCCTTTTAATAAGGGAAGAATGTGTTGTTGGCCCTTGGTCCCTTTAAGGAGATAAATAGATTATTTTGAGCTTGATATTACCCCATAGGTAGGTAACTAAAAACATAATGTTTTATTGCATAGAAATTGAGGGTCATCCATCTCACTGGTGATGATGACTTTATTGGAAAATGAAATAACATGTGAAATAATGAACTGAGATGCCCCCAGTCTTTATTTTGAATGCTTGATAAGGTTAATTCCAGCTGTGAGACAACTGTTAGTCGATATACTTATTTGAGTCCTCCTCACTATACGTCATATTGCTTTGGCTGAAAAATGATCTCTTATAATTGGTATCCTTTTCATCCCTGGTGAGAGGGGCTAATCTCTTCTTGTTCTCTCCTTCCTTTCCTTTCCATGCATTCATGGTGTCTTCAGTGTTCATGTGTTTCTGCGCTCTGATCAACAACTCTGCCATGCTGGTGGGAGGTTTTTTTGGATAAGGTGAACAAAAATCTGGAGGTTTGGAGTCCTCCTATGAAAGCGGTCAAAGCCACCTTATCGTCCACCTCTTCTGCCTACAACATCTCTGTGTTGAATCAGGTGATGTATTCCTGGATTGACTCGCCCTTCTGGTGCTTTATGGTAAGCAGGTAGGTGGCCGGCCTCCTATGCCTCTGACCTGCAATGAAGTGGCTCACAAATTGCTTGCTCAATTCTTTCGAAGGTGTTGATGGTTCCTGGCTTTAGCTTGTTGAACCAAACTCTTGTCGATACCTTAAGTGTAGTGGGAAAAGCTCGGCACATGATTGTATCTGGCACGGCGTGCAAATCCAGAAGAGCTTGAAAGGTTTCCAGGTGATCGAGAGGATCTTTGGTCCTGTCGAAGCTTTCGAACGAGGGTATCATAAACTTGCTAAGCAGTGGACATTTCATAACGGCGGGGCTGAACGGTAAGTTGGTCCTTTGTACCAGGTCATCTACGGCGGCATGACCCTTCCCTTTCATAGCCTGCATTACATCTTCCATTTTCCCCTTGAGATCCTCGATCTGTAGGTCGAAATAGGTGACTTTCTTCGTCTTTTCCTTAAGACAGAAAGCTGTGCCTTCATGAGGTCGGGAACTCCGTGGGAGAGATGGGTGGACCACCTCTCTATGTCGATTTTCTCATCTGGCTTTATTCCATTTCGGTCTCATTTTGGGGGGGATGATTATCCTGCTCTTCAAGATTCCCATTACCTCCGTTTGGATTTGAGAGATCTGGTCGTGGCAAGTTTTGTTGAACCGGTGGAACAAGATGTTGTAGGAGCGCTGCATTTTGCTGGATTAACTGGTCCATACCCTGACTCAGAGTTTGGACCTACAGTTCCAACGCTGCAAGCCGTGTCTGGTCGTTTGGGATATCTAGGTTTTCACCCGACTCTACCCTTTGACCAGATCGCTGCAACAGTGTTCCTTCGGTAACCATACTGGATTGCAAACGTATATACCAAACTGAGTAATTAATTGATTCAAGGAAATCATCGTTCCCACAGACGGCGCCAACTGTTGAGGGTGAAATTCATGCGGTCCGATAAGACACCGTTTTCCTGCAAGGAAGATAGGAGAAGATCGATGAACCTTGACGGCACCGGTGTGGTGCCTGCCAAGAGCTCTCCGACGATCAAGTTAGTCACCGAAGGTCTAAAAAGAAGGCAGGGATTTCATAATAGTTTTTTCGTCGTACCTTATTCCCAAGTCGTCTTCCTATTTATCGGCACTTTCCTTATTCTTGATAAGGGAATATCATAATCCTTATCCCATGGAACTTATCCCGTGGAAATCTTATCCTTGATAAGATTTGTCATTATCCTATGAAATTTATCCAATGAAAATCGTTATCCTTGATAACGAAATATTATCTTTCGAAAGCAGAAGAGATTTGCCTCTATCGTTAGGTCAAGATAGGTTAGGTTTATTTTTCCCTATCAAATATTATTCTTTCTTTTATTTTATCTCCCATGTATTCAATTTATCTTTCCTTGTTCTTTTCTTTTCTTCCTTTTTTTTCATGATAAATTTATTTATTTTCAACCCATTTTAGGACAATGTAGATAAATTTATCTTTTCTATTTTGTGCTTTATTGAACTCTTTCTTAAATATAAAATTACATTTTTTCTAATTTATTCTATTTTTAACTCTTCTAACACTATAATGATTTTCACTGCATTATGTAATGCAACCTATATATGAAAATGATTAGTTTTTCTTCCCGAAAAATGATTAGTTAATAATTGAGACAATTAAAAGAAGGATATTTTTATCATTAAATGGCACCTTATTTGGACTGAATGCGTCAAGAAACTCTTTTGATAACATTACATTTTATAATATATGTGAACGAAATCAAAATTTTCATTAACTAAAGAAAAGAATTATATTATCCTAACCACATTTTATATTAAAATAATTTCTCTCCCTCAACTTTCTTACAAACTCAATTAATTTAGGTTATATATATTTTTATTTTATTCCATTAACTTGCCATATTTAATATATGAACTTTAACATTTATTTTAAATTAGTATTTATCTTATAATTTAAAATAAATTTGAATAGAAAATTATAACTCCTTAAACTTTAATTTTTACCATTAAAATCTTATTGTTACTAATGAATTTGTAAATGAACAAATACATATAATTTCATAAATATTTAAAATTTTATTTATTTAAAATAAGTTGCTAACTAATTACTATATGTAAAAAGATTTTTTTTAATTTTAAATTTTGTATAATTTTTTATAATTAATTTTAAAAATTAACTTTTGAGCTTTGATATTCACCCAAAAAAAAAAAAAAAAAAAGTTTTGACCGGTCAACTATTGCATTGCACGTGTTTTTAACTTTTTAGTTTAACTCATCTTCCCCAATTTCTGAGCCGTCGTACGTTTTAGTTACTGACGAGGAGATAAAAGTCTTGGATTCATCCTTCTTCCATTAGGATTCTACAAACTTTCCTCTTCCTGATTATGAAAAGAATAGGAAGGCTATATATATTTATATGTAGGTCAGCTTTACTCATTATTCTATCAGTTTGGATCGCATCGCCGGCCAGTTGTGAAGTTTAAGATTTTTGCAGACTCCAGGTGAGTTGAATTTGCTATTATTCTCACATGTATTCGAATTCTCAAATAAATTCATACATCTACATGTATTAATCTCTCTCTTTGTTATTTATATAAATGTATAACCACGGATTAAAGTTGCTAGAAAAAATACTACGACGAATTTCTGCCACAATATATATTGTTTTTATAGATTGGAACTTGTGATTTGGGACTGGTTCACGTAGATTATAATATTGAAAATTATTTATATAAATGTTTGAAAGACAAGGATGGTGTCTGCAATTTAAGCATTGGTGAGGGGGTTTTAAGTGCAATTTTTCCTGACCTTTATATCTCCTCTATCCCTAAAAATCTAAGCCGTCGTACTTTATTCAGAGAGTTGACCAGGAAATAAAACTCTCGACTCTTTGTTCTATTAGGAAAAAATTATATCTTTATATATATAGATCAGTTTTACTTAAGATTATTGGTTTGCATCGCCAATTGCGAAGCTTAAGATTATTTCAGCCTTTGAGGTAAGTTGTTTGGATTGTTCATATTTCACAATATATTGTTTTTATGGGATTTGGATTTGGTACTGTATAAAGCCACGGGATTTGGATTTGGTAGTGTATAAATTAGATTTAATATTGAAAATTAATTTTCTCCAATAGTTTTTTTTTTCAAAAATTGTCATGAGCAAGTTTGTTACCCTTATGGTGATGAAAGAGATTACACCAATAACTTCATTCTAGATCCTGGTTAACCACCAATAAGTTTGTTACAAGTTTTTTTTTTTTTTTTGGTGAATTATTTAGTTTAAAATTATAAATCCCATTCAAAATTTTGCCAATTAATCGAGTATTGTAGAGAGTATTGTAGATACAATGTAAGTTATTGTGATTATATAGATTCTTTGATTTGTTCACATTGCAGTGGTATTAGCAAAAAAAAGACTGATGGGGTCATTGGAGGAGTCAGATTGGGCAGGGCTTCCGAAGAACTTATTGGATATGATTTTGGACAAGTTGGTTTCACTTTCTGAATATGTTCGATTTGGTGCGGTTTGCAAACCATGGCAGTCTGTGGTAATGGATAACAAACTTAAATTCATTCAAAATAAGTTTTTGAGACAAGTTCCATTCTTAATGGTGCCTTCGAAAGATAATAGTGACGAAAGACGTAGTCTATACAGCATCACTCATAATAAGATAGATGATTTTCAGTTACGCGTACCTTATCAGAAGAGGCTTTCTGGTTCCTCACATGGTTGGTTGTTTACTGTGGAAGAAACCTTCGGCGTAACCTTAATCAACCCATTCTCCGGTGCTACCATTGAGCTTCCTCCAATTATGGACCTCTCATATTTCCATCCTCCTGATGAAACTGATGACGATGACGATGATGATAATGATCCTATTGAGGTTGACTTTGAAGTTGTAAAGGCTACATTGTCAGTTGACCCTGCTTTGTATCCTAATGACTATATTGTTACCGCCACCTATAGTGGTTACAGAAGACTGGCATTCATTCTGCCCGGAGACAAAGCTTGGACTTACATAGATAAAGAAAGATTTCGGCTCATCTTTGATGTCACATATTATAAAGGCCGGATTTTTGCAGTTGATGATAAGAGTAGAGTCCTAATGATTGATGTTAATAGAAGGGCTGGGGAGAGTCAGGCTCCGCAAGTGGAGGTAATTGCACCGCCGACTATTGTGTATTCTCATCAGACGTATATTGTTGAATCATCTAGTGGGGATTTACTTGTTGTACAAAGGTTTTTAAAAGTTGGAGATGATTCACAGCATGCAACTAAAGGGTTTAAGGTTTGCAAGTTGCTCTTAGACCAATTTGAGCAAGGTTGGCCTATGCAGGTTGAATTGAAGAACTTGGGTGGAGACACCTTGTTTTTGGGAGATAACCATTCCATTTGTGTTTCAGCTTCCAAATGGCCCGGATGCCAACCAGATTCTATATACTACACAGATGATTATATTGAGATTCTATCCCAGCTTCCATCTGGGCGCCGCGACATTGGTATCTTCAACATAGAAAAGGGAAGCTTTGGGACGCATTACATCCTTGATCCTTCACATAAGGATATGCCGCCCTCAATTTGGATTGTGCCAACTGTGTTATAAAATTGAGTGGAGACTTAATTGTTTTGAGCGTCTTTTTGTCATATCTAATTTTATTTAGTTTTTTTTTTTTTTTTTTGCTCGTCATTTTTATGCTGTGTAAAAAATCTATTTTTATCTCTTGCTGTAGCAAATGTGAGATCAAGTTTGTAAGACATATAATAAAATATTATTGTGGTTTTCTCTCCAATTTTTATGGTATTATAAATATTTTTGAGCTACTATTCATTTTCTTATAAGAAAGTTACCGCCTTTTTCCTTATAAGAAATTTATTGTCTTTTTTTTTTAGAAGAAACCTCCTTCTCTTTTTTCTCTGTTAGCATCATGAATCATCTTCCTTAAAATGAGGGTTGGAACTAACATTGAATCATAATTCTTGATGGTTAAAGTGTCCTTGTTAAGCAATCCAGCTCTCAACTATTGTTCTGTCGGCATATTTTGATAAGTATGGTCAAGTGTGGATAACTTTTCATGTACTTAAGAGTTGGATGACATTCATGAAGGAAGCCTATATGTTGTTTTGAATTTTTTTTTTTTTTTTTGAAATCCAGATCATGTCTTGCGTTAATTCTTGGGGCCCATTCATGATAATGGATCTGAGTTTGGTTGAAAGTAAATCTTTTGTTGATCCATGTTTAGCTTATTATTGAGTGCCTGATCTGATTTTCCTGGATAGCTTTAAATTTATATGGTGGACACATTCGCTCTTTAAAGCACATGAAGATTGCTAGATATTCTCTATTATGATGCTTTGCCAGATTTATATATAATATAACTCTATTTTTACTGATGCACTAGGTGGCCGGTTTAGATGATTATATATGATGTCGGTGCAGAACTTAGTATTTCTGATATCATTTCGCTAATGATGAAAGCTGCAGAGGCCAAAACTGTACTACTTGGGTTGCATTGTCTCATCACATGATTAGTGGTTTCTAAGGCTGTAGCTCCAGGAAGCAAATTTTTTTATTTTCCTCCACATAAAAACTGTTTTGCGCATGAAAGATGGTCTTGTGCATGTGTGGCTTCTGGACTGAGTGATCCCTGCTGCGAGAATTTTCATCCAGCGATTATGCATTATTCCTTTTGGTCGGTACTATTAGCCTTACTTGTTCAATGAATTCTGAGTTTTGCTTGCATTTATTGTTCTGTTTGCAGGCAAGGATCTAAACACTGAATTCATCATATATCCTCACTACAAGAAAATGAGGAAATGGTGGCGGATATATTATATATATCAGCAGTCTAGATAAACCGCCGTAAGAGCTCCTTGTGCCAGCCTTTTTCTGTAATTGCTGCCTGAGATATCATGTGACCGCGACTCAAACTATTTTATTAAATTTCCCCCGACTCTCTATCTTCTCTCATAGATTACTATCATTTCTCTCTTGCAACCTTTCTCTGTCTAATGCTCTCTCTTCTCTTAAACTCTTTCATCCCAAAGAACGAATACAGAATTGTTATCGGAATACACAGTCCTGTAACTGGAAAGTCAATGGAAACTCTCTCTCTCTCTCTCTCTCTCTCTCTCTCTCTATTAAATATGTATACATATATAAAAATCACTGAAAGAGGCTAATCTGGTTCCTTATTGTTAGTACAGATTCTTGTACATGGGGTTCGCCTCTTTTTCCCCTCTAAACGGAATGTGGGATAAGTTAGAAGCATACACCAAGGAAGCTTAGTGCCCTGCAATTGACATGATCTACCAACACTTAATGCAGGTCATAACATAACCATTGGCTTGGCATGGTTTCTAAATCCTGGTTTGTTGTGCATATTTGGCTGAATTTCCAGTTTTTATTTTTATTTTTTGTTATCAAAAGAAAAATCAGAACTTGTTGAGTATCCTTAACCAGTGTCCTGAGGACTAATGCAGAGTATTCTCGAATGTGGCTTAGTAATACCCTTCTTTTTATCTGTTTTAGCTACCAACAGGGGTCAAATGACTGTATACGATTCTTATTGCGGAAAATTCTGCAAAATTATGCAGCTCATAAACACACTGATGTGAATTCAGCTCGTAACAAGGTAATCTGATCAGTTTTGTTTCACAAAGTAGGTGTTCTTACCTGATGTTGATTTTTCGAAGCTTAGATTTTTAGTGACGGATCTTAATGACTGGTATTCTGCCTTTTTGATTTATACTTTTCTTTATCTTTTAGAAGTTGGTCAAGTGGATCTTATTTTGGTGTAAACTTTATGCAGGCACTGAGATAATGCAACAATTGCTGTCCATTTGTGAATGCAAAACTACTGTTCTTTTGCGTGAATAAGTTATGTTTTCTCTCTTGGACTTGTCACCAGTAATGATATTTTCATCTATGGATCGCAAGAGTGTAAGTTCAAATATATATTTTTCATCATTCGACTAGTGCAAAATATTGAGCATCGTAGACTTTTTGAGATTCAGTTGTCTTTTTGAGATACAGTTGTCTCTAATTTTTTGAATTCTGCAATTGCATGTTGGCATGAGTTTTATGTGGTTATGGTAATTTCAAAACTTTTCCTTAACAGGTAGATCAAGTACTCATGATCATTTAAATTTAATTACATAGGTTCCTCCTTTATGCTTAAAGCCTTGTTTTGATTACACAGTTTCAACCTTTATGCTTAAGCTTAACATCTCAACCTTTTATGTTTAAGCTTAATATCACGAAGCTATAGAATAAGATATGTGTGAGCAAGCAATAAATATTACTTCAATTCTCATCAAAGCCTTGTTGTTTAACACGATGCCAATTTTCAGTTCTTTTGATGTCTTGTGTGCTGAATAGTTCAATCAGAAGGTTGGCTTCTCTTAGGGTCCCACTAAAGCAGAGAAGGACGCGTCTGCAGTGGATCGAAAGGGGAGGCTTCGGTTGAGGGCTTTGCCATCGCTGGTTAAGAAGAACGACAGTCAATAACTGCAAAGGATGAGACCGAGGATCACAACGGATCTGGATGACGTGCACTGTTTTGAAACGATAATCATGTACTGAGCAGCCAAGTTACTCCAAGCCAGGAGAGAGAAACTGAAGGTAACTTTACTATCATATATTCATTAAGAACAAGGAATTAATGAATCTAACTACTATCCATTCAATACTTACTTATATTTGCTAATTAATTAAATCCTACTGATTATTTTGGCATATATGTAATGGTTGCATAGTGCACCCTCTCTACTTTGATTTGTATAAATCAACAACAGAGGTGTTTTAAGGACTATATTTGTATGTATATATAAGTTAAACCCATTTGCATTTGTCTTTCCCTTTCATTTCAGCATGGGTTCTTTTATATATAAGGCTATTTTTGTCCTTTACATAAGGTTGTTTTGTAATTTGGTGACTATGTAAGGTTAACAGCGTCTTTTCCTCTTAGTTAATGGGCATTTTGGTCACTGCAACCAATTTTTCTGATGTCACTGGCCAAATTTGGGATGGAAGGGGGTATGTGTCTAACATAGGAAACCACAGGCAATATTTTTGGATGTGACATAATTTTATCCATTGTTCTTCATGCTTTCAGGTAAAAAAATTACCTTTTCTCTTGATTGGTACAATTTCATATAAGGCGTGATATATTTCTATACAAGCAAGCAATTTATAGCTATGTAAGTGCACTGGTGTGAATTTATATTTGAACCACAGGCAATTCCTGTTAAGATAAGTGATTATGTCTTCACGGCAGAAGAGCTCTCCGTAGGGGATATCATCTATCTTCTAACTCACCTAGATACACTTGAGAAAGGCCTTTGACTCAATGGGGTGGAATTTCATCATTAATGCATTGTCCCTCTTTGGCCTGCCACTCCCTCTCATCTCACTCATAAAGAATGTCTCATATCTCCGTCATTCACTATGGCGCTCAATGGAGAATTTCAGGGGTATTTTAAAAGGGGTCAGAGGGTTAATGCATTAGGACCCTCTCTCCCCTTGCCTTTTTGTTATTGCAATCGAGGTTCTCTCATTTATCATTAAGGAGATAGTCTTGGCATCCCCAAACTCAACACCACTCATCCGGCTTTCGCTGATAATCTGCTACTTTTCTGCTTTGGAAATTTTCATTCATTCTAAGTGCTCAAACAAGCTTTGGACACTTTCTCTCCTTTCTCAGGCCTGACTGTTAATGTAGGCAAAAGCTCTATTTCCGTCTCTGGCATTAAGCCCTTTATAGTAACACACATTCAAACTCTTTTGGGTTATGACCTAGGCTCTCTCCCAATTAGTCACTTGGGGGTTCCTTCGACTTTTACAAGGCTCAAGGCAAGTGATTGTAAGTCCATAACAGAGAAAATTACTAAAAGAATCTCCCACCGGACAAGTAGATGGTTGTCTTATGCAGGAAGGGTGCAACTCATCCAATCCATCCTTGTCTCCTCTATCACTTATTAGGCTAGTATGTTCATCCTTCCGAAGAACACTTTGGAGGACCTGCATGCTATCCTCAGAAATTTCCAATGGTTAGGAGTTGAACTTGAGAGCTCTAGTGCTAGAGTGGCATGGACTAATGTATGCACTCCCAAGTGCAAATGGGGACTTGGGTTTTCGAATATTGAAGTTGCCAATACTGTATGAGCTATTAAGCATATTGGTGCTTTGTTATCCAGAGACTTGCCTAATAAAATCATAAGGCTTCCGGCAAGTCAAAATCCCTCAACATTGCTTCTTGAGCTGGAAGAAGATCATGCAGCTTCGACCACTGGCTAGACCACACATCTCCCACGGGATTGGTAACTCATCACTCGATCTGGTTTGATAATTGGACATTACAGGGACCTATCCATCACGTTTACCTTGTTATCACCCTAATTACACTCAAGTAGGGGTGGCAAAATGGGTCAGGAACCATCAACCTGCCCATATCCGCCCATGTTTTAATGAGTTTGGGTTAACCATATTTAACATGGGTCAAAAATGGGTTGGATAATTTTCAACGCTCTAATTTTAGGGTCAAAACGGGTTGAATATGGTTAACCATATTCAACCCGTATTTCTGTCCACATATTAACTATCGATGTTTAGGGTTTGGTTTTGGGTGCAGTGCTCTCTCTCTCTTCGCCTTCGCCGTTTCAGTCTCTCTCTTCCCTTCGCCTTCGCCGTGCAGCTCTTTCTCTCTTCCCTTCACCTTTGCCTTCGCCGTGCAGCTCTCTCTCTCTTCCCTTCGCAGTGCGTCGGAAACCTGTACATGCCTGAAATGTTCT